TACCTATTATAAATGTGTCTCATAATAATAATATATTCTATATTTTTATATTTGTTCTATAAAATATCGCATAAAGCGTCCGAAATTCCGAGACCAGAATTTTATACTGTAAAAACGATACAATAATATACGGAACACTTTAGAAAATATAGGTACATACATTATAGAACTGTTAGAACCGTATAATCTCTACGGTTTTATTGAAATAAAATATTATATAAGTTTTGTTTTCAAATTGTGCATTTCATTTTTCGCGCATTGATTAAGAGTACCATTCGAGTTTTATCGTAGGTGTAGCATAATAGCGCGATGAACTGAACATAATAGAAACATCGAACATACGTTGTACTTTGAAGTGGTGGTGATTTTTCAAATATGATCCTCTAAGAACAGCTAAATACTGAAAAAATCGCAAAAAGTATTAAATGATGCAAATATATTTAAATAAAAGTATAATAATTATAAACATTTTAAATTTTAATAATTTGAAATAATTTATTAAACTGCATGATTATATTTCATTCAAATTTAAAACTAATTAACAACAGTATAACTCGCATTGATCTGTAATAATAATGTTATAATATATTTTTAGATTGCGAGCAAAACAAGGAATGTATTGGTTTTACTATGATGGGTTTTTTTTTTGTATTTATAAAAAAACATTTCTACCAGATATCTTACTTAAAAAAATTGTACCGGCACTTGCTTGTATCATTTTTGATTTAGTCAATGGGGATGTTTCATTGTTTAATTTGCCTTGTAGTTTTCTTAAAAATTGGGAACAACTGATAGTTTGTTGTATAACTTTTGTTGATGTCTGGGTTACCTTGGCGATACGGGAAAAATTACGACTAATAATCATGTTCGTTTTTGCGTTATCAACAGTATTCGTTGCGTATGGATAAAAATTAAATTACTCTATACTATGCATTATAAGTTTCCTTCCAACTTACCTTTTAAAACCGTGGAATCCATCAGCAGTATCAGTCTTTTTTGCTGCTATTTGACCGTGACGTGATGTCATGAATTTTAAAATTACTTTTGTTTTATATCTTATACTATATAAGACATTTTTATCAAGTAGGACAATTTAGTTTTGTTTTGGGACGAATGCAAAAATCGCATTTAAATGTCTACGTAAAATATACAAATATATAATATACTTAACTAATAATAAACGAATTTCAGTCATTTTACATTATATATACATGTTATGTATCCATGCACCTTTATTTTATATTTTTATTTTTCATAGCGTATTTTATCATAATAATTGTAGAACTGATTATATTTTTTTTTGATTTCGTATTATGGCCTATATATTATATAGGTGTTAGGCAATTATATTCATTTATATATACTTGTGTACATTTATTTCAACATTCTCGTTTCCATTCTTCTTGTCTCTTTTATTCGACTTCGTTCAATCAAGTCCTTTCACTATCATAATTGTATATCATTTTTATATCACCCTTAACGGCACCTCTTGATACCACATGCTGTACTGTACCAGTTATACCACCCTAAATCTAAAATTGACGAGTCATTATAATTATTTATTTTACTTCCTGTCTATAATTATTTCTATTCATTTTACAAAGTGAAAATGTTTTTTGTTTTTTTTTTTTCAAATAATGTTCTTATTAAGTAATATCCTATATCCAACGTCTTAGGTTTTATAGTTATCTACAAAAATAGTAAAGTCAGTGCTTGAATTAGTAACAAATTAGAAGGGGAACTCAAAAGTGTTAAACAATGTGTATATATTGAGATTTAATTATGTTCATGTCCATATATGTTCATAATAATGTCCATTCAGATTTCAAGGCCGGGGATGGGGGTGTACATGGGAGGATACTCCGCTCACAGTAGATTACTGAGTCAGCAATTTAACGGTAATTTGATTTTAATTTCGGCTTAACTAATAATTTCTTAGTTTTTTTTGTTTGGTATTTTATTAAATGATAATAAATGATTAAATATTAGGGTTTTATTAAAAATTTGCTGATCATAGGAAAAAATATAATTTAACATCAGTAAATTTAGTTTTTGGAGCCAACAAATTTGAGTTTGTGTCTATTATACAAAACTAGAACGAACACGCTAAAATATTTTTAGAAAAGACGAAGTACACCAGTACACCCCCCCCCACCCCGATTTAAGCACATATACACAGAATATCCCAAGAAGATGCGCCCCTTCTTCGGAAATAATAAAGATAATCAAATTCTGTTTTTTTTTATATATATATATATTATTCACAGTGATAAGGACTACAAAATTTCAATAAATTTTTATGTTTTGGTAAAAATTTAATAATTTTTTCTTTTATTGTTTTTGAAAAATTTTAAGATGGCCAATTGGTAGAGTTTACTCTTCTGAAAATGTTGATGTATTAACTTTTTGTTTTCATTAAATTTGTTTAAAGTTCAGAGAAAAAAATGAACAGTCAACTTGCTATGATAATAATAACCAACTAGGAAATGCGATTACAGTCTACAACATAATTATAGACACTTCTCTATGAACTTTTAAAAATTATTAAAATCTACGAATAGAATGAAAAAAAAAAAAAAAATGATACGTCAACATTTGCAAAAGAATAAACTCGATAAAATGGCTATTTTCAAATCTTTCAAAAATAAAAGTTATTTTTCTAAGTTTTTCACTAAACATAAAAATGTAATTAAAATATAAATATTGATAGTTCCTTATCCCGGCGAGTAATAATAATAATAATAATAATAATAATAAAAAAACAAATGTAATGGGTATATCTTCGTGGGAACTCTGTATACTATGAAATTAAATTGTGGTGAACCCATTTGTATAAGTAAAAAGACGTGATAGTGACAATAATAATATATTATGTTGTGTCTCGTATAAACATTGTTGTCCGTCACGCAGTGAAAAAATGAAAAATGGGTCATTGTAAAATCAATTGGAAATTATACTATAGTAACACGCAATAATATAGTAATAATTACCGGATTGGTTTGTCAAACAATTGTGTACTAAACTAATAATATAATGTAATATGTATAGGTACGTACCTACGACTCACGAGTGTGATTTCAAAGAACGAATAATAAAAAACAATTAGTGCAATGAAATAACGATAAAAACGTATATTATGCAGTACGAATATAGAATGAAGTGAAAACTCACACGGAAGAAAACTACAGTGGCGTGGGCGTGGTGGAGAGGATAGGGGTTATACCTCATCACCAGGTGCGTCATTTCGGTTATTCAATGTGGATGCGAACATTTGGATCGGGCCAATTTTCCCTCGCCCTCTACGCCCGCCGGGTCCATTTATATACGCTGTTTATTTCGCGAAATTGAACAAATTTTCCGCCCGTTCGTATTCGCGTTTCTACATTACATTTTAATGTTGACGAATATTGACAAATATTTCCGATAGAAAAAAAAAAAAAAAATTAAAAAACCAAATTTCAATATTTGACATAACAATAACATTTTTACTTATTTTTATTTACTAATTTTCAACTTAGTTTATTTTTTAATTTACATTTTCGGGTTATGTATAGACAATAGGCATAAGTATAATCAGAAGATTTTACGATTTTTTGAATCATGAATCATGATCATTACATACATCCCCTACTATTGAAGAACACGCTACCTTCACATCGTCTTTCAGAAACATCATAACTGCAGTTACAATTGCCTCGTCGTTAGGTATCCATTCGTGTAGCCACTTCGTATACGCTATAGATAGTATAATAATTTGATTTTATACCCCGAGAGAAGACATTCTGAGGAATGCATGGTTTTACATTTATGTTTATTATTTTTGTTTTTTTTTTATACTGTGTACACAATTTCTACCAGAAATCTTGCTCTGATTTTTAAGTTTAGTACCTTTCCTGAAAGAAAATGTCATCTAGTTAGTACTTTAACGCAGTCTTTTTTTTTATATTTTCTAAGTAGTTTTCATAATAATTAGGAAAAAATGTTGGGTACGTATCTAAAAACGCCGTATTTTAGCGGAATAGTACCAAAAATGCTAAAACAAAAAGTCCGTACATAAGGACAAACAGCGGAAAACGTAAAATAAAAGTTTCGCTTTTGAAGTATCCGTTACACATGAACCATAAACTGTGTACTCGGATATCGTCGTCGTCCTCCAACCGAAAACGCATTTTACATTGATATCCAAACCATATACATAATTATGTACGATACGTTATTATTGATAATACTATATTTTTTACCGGATCCGCGCGTTTGGGCGATTTCGGGTGACGTAACTACTATGTATTGAGCATACATCGTAATAATTTCTTATGGATATTTAACCCACGTCGTCGTCGTTGTCGGTCGATCGGATGGACGATTCACGTCGACCGGTAAAATGACATAATAGCCGCTCGAGAATTGCCCTCTCGCAGCCGCGTTTGTGTATGTGTGTGTGTGTGTGTGTGTGTGCGCGCGCGCGTGTATTTTTATTATTATATTAACGAACGCGCGAGTGTGTGTGTGTGTGTGTGTGTGTGTGCGCGCGCGCGCGTGTATTTTTATTATTGTATTAACGAACGCGCGAGTGTGTGTGTGTGTGTGTGTATTATGGCGGCGGAAGAACGTCACGTCACCGGAGCTCCTGCGGTATTATAAGTACGGGTATTATTATTATTATTATTGCGCAACGGGTTACCGCGGTAGCCGGTGTATTATATTATGGTATACATACACAATCGCGGTGGCGGTGGATATTATATAGGTATAATAGCTCCGGTAAACATTTGCTGATGCCGAGCGACAGAGATAAAGATATTATAATAATAAATTGTACTTACGGATATATATTTATATATATATACGTATATACAGCGTGGTAGACGGAGAATCACGACGGCCGGGAAGAAAGATTGAGAGAGAGAGAGAAAGATTGAGAGAGAGAGAGAGAAAGAGAGAGAGAGAGAGATAGACTCGCAAACATTGAAAAAAAACCGCACAAGACGACGGAGCGCCGCGATATACTTTCACTGGACTGTCGTCGACGAACGCGCCGCACTCGTTGGTCGTAGCGTCTCTCCGAAACACGTCGTGGTCGTCGTCGTGTTCTACACATCATAGTGTTATAGTAATAATAATATCATATTATCCATCACGACCGAGACGTGTTTTCGCGGGGAGAGAAAAAAAAAAACAATATTAATAATTAAAAACCCTAACCGTTTTTTCAATCGTTTCCCGCCCGTCGTTTTTGTCGCGCGTCACCAAATTATAATAATGAACCGGCCGGCCGCGCGTCCGTTGTCCGCTACCCGATTCGTCTGAGACGTTGTTTTTCGTTTCGTATGCAACACCGCGAGTACCACGATACTATCACAATACGGACATCATTTTTTACAGTACAATCACACGGCAGACAGCTTTGCGAGTCCGAACATAATAATATACACGACGAAAGATCATTTACCGCGTTATCGATTGTTTTCACTACGTTACGAGTCCCTCGTTTGTACCGGTGCAGTTAGAATGGTCGCACGTTACTCCGGCGCATCCACCGCCACCGCCGATTGTCTGGTCCGGACGTCCCTTTTGCTACTGACGGCCGTCGCCACCGTCTCCCGGACCGCCGAAGCCGTCCTTTCCGTGAACGCTACACGTGAGTACCGAAATAAACAACGACGACATCGTTAATATAACAAGTTAAAATGCGATAATATTATTATTCAGACTAAATCATGTATATAATTAACACGAAGGATTCGCGGATTGATCTTTTGATAAACCAAAAAAAAAAAAAATAATAATAATAATCATAGATATCAAAGATTTTGTATTTTTACGTCGTATTATCGTTTTTTTCAATGTACTTACTATTGTAATATAATTTATACCGATATAATCGGTCGGCCGTCGCGACTTTTTAATTTTAACTTTTATATCATATAGGTTACATTGTACACGTCGCGCAATGCGCGTATTGGTTTTACAAAGGTGTTTAGTTTTTATGCGAACACTTTTTTAATAGAAAGTTCACTCTGACGTAGAACTTTTTCCGAAAGGAAATCTTCTTGGGGTGGTACTTTAGGGAGGTCATTTTTCGATTTTCTAAATTGCTTTTATTCACGAAAACTACTATAACAATAATAACTATAGGCACTATTAATTGATAAATATAATAATTCTATATATTAGAAGAACGAAATAACAATATTGTCGAAGACAATGTTACTACTTTATCCAAAAGTAATAGGAACCGTGTATGTTTTCAAAACGAATAACAGGTACGAACTACACAAAATATAATATTCACTCTCCGGAACATGGCAATTCGATTTGATTTTGAACGTTTATGCGTAAAACGATGTCGGGCGTAGAGACAGGTTTAAAAGGTTTCGAACGCTTTGTTTAAAACGCTTCGCGACCCCGCCGCGCACCCGTGTGACCCGTAAAAAATCCCTCACGAAAAACAAGTTCCGACTCGCGCGTATAATTCGAGTTCTACCTCTCCCCCGCCCCTCTCCGCCGCCCCGCGAGAAACTATCGCGCGCTCATAGTGTTTGCATACCGTATATTTCCATATACGGCGGTCGGGGCAAACTCGCCGTAGAAAGTATGCCCGCCTGCCGACCGTTATCGTCCAGTCCGGACGAGTTTTCTCGTTTGATAATAAAAAAAACATTTTTTTTTTTTCATTACTATTATTATGTGTAATAAAAATCACGTCGTTACGCGCGTAGTCGTCGGGAGCAAACGCACCATTGTATAGTATTATCGGGCGCGTAAACGAAATCGCGCGTTGTAATATCGTGCACGCGGATTTTGAGGGCGACATTCGCAACGGTACGAGAATCGTCTTTCCTCGCGGCCGTTCACCCCGATTTTCCGGCCGGCCGGTGCACTCTTTTTCGCTTTGCGTTTTCTTCGTCCCGCATTGGTCGATGCTCCGTTCTGACCGGTTGTTCGCATTTTCCTTTAGGGTTCCTTCAAAGGTTTCGACACTCGCGTCGTTTTCAATTCGACGGACGTACCGCGGACCGACGAAGCGGAGCGATGGAATTTCTGAAAACGCGAGATGGGTTACGCCATATTTTTTTCGAAAATTTAATTTCGTTTATTTTCGGTCTTGTGTATTTTTATGAATTTCCATGTTTTTCAAAATAAATTAACAAACGAAATTCGAAAGAGCGGTCTGGTCGATCGTACGTACACGACTTCTACACGTTGAACTCAAATCTGTTTTCAGAATTCTTATTGTTTCACTACGTCGACCGGATGACGATGGGCGGGAAATTTGCTGAATCCGCATGGGTCATACATTGAAAGACACGCGGATCATCGTTAAGTTTCGAATCCTCTTAAGATGCGATGTGCATTTGCCGTCTTTGGCTGTCTAACGAGCAATAGTATAGCAGAAACGTGTTTTCATATTTCCAATAGTGCTCAGGCATAAAAATTCGATTTCGATGTCAAATCAAATATTAGAATTTTTACTAATCGTCCATTGTACAGTTTTGTTTATTATTTTTCTTAAATCTTCATCTATCGATTTATATGGTTTTTGTCGAAATAATTTTAAACAAGTTAAGAGAGCCCGTTTTACGTACGTGCAAATTTCTCGGTTTCTAAAAGTAATTTTTAAACAACAAACACTTGCATATCTAATTTCGAAAGAATTCGGTAACCTAGTGTATTATGTTTGTGTGTGGACTGTAGACATATCCAAACAAACTGGACATACCTAAACAAACCAAATATCTTAATACTTGTAAATATAGTTTGACAGGAATTTTTGAAATTCTTATTGTACTTATGTGTTTGGTACCTATGTTTTTTTAACATTTCCTTACATAAATATACATTTAAATCCTCATTCATTTTAGATTTTATGATTGATACTCATGTTTAAATCAATAATGATAATATTAATAATATTATGAATAATCTTCCCGTCAACCAAATCAACAACCGTAACTATACCGTACTATAGTAACTATACATTACAAATGGACGGATACAACGGGGATTTAATATATTCTGAATTTACGTTTAGAAAGATAAAAGCCACGGTGTTCAGTACGACGTTTCGCGTTTATTTCGGGCACCAAAAGTCAAGTTTATACGACCACAGAGTCTCGAGTCTCCGGGGAGTTTCCGGTTGAGTTTAGATCAAAGGGACCCTCCTCACATACGTTTTATTAAAATAGCAATTACGATGTTTTGACCGGATGAAAAAAATATTTTCATTTCTTAATAACGAGTGGTTGAAATGAAGAGAAACTGCAAGGAAAATTGAAACACGAATATGAAAATAATAATAATAATAATCAAAAAAATTAAAAAAATTATTCGTAGAAGCCAAGTATTATTTTCGTTTAGTATATAAGCGTATTATATTATTATACTTATGTAATATGCGAGTGTACGGCACTCGGTTAATCTTAATACATCTTAAATACCATTATTATATAAAACGAGACGGTTCCGGCGAAACGATTTGTTTGTTTAGCTACACACATATAATACGTACGATTATTATTAGGTAGGTGCACCTAAATCATGACGTTTTTACTTTCATAATAATTATTATGTACCCATATACTTACTATAATACTGCAGCAGTCGGCTATACCGCCGCTGCAGCCGCCGCCGGGTGTGTTTTCTGAAATTTTTATTTTTTATTCGTGCGACCAGATAATGTAACCTTCAAACTGCGTATAGGTACCACATAATAATCGAGTGTTTACATAATAATATTTTTATATTACGTTTTCTTCACTTCCTTCTGCATGCTAATATAATAACGTTATAAATACCTACGTTAACCGTCTTTAATTCAACGACCCGTGCTCGGGTTGTTTTCAAAAAATAAACATTCACAACACTACAGGTAGGTAGGTATTATACAAGTTCGCGGTTGACGTACATCGAACAATATACAGTACAACAGAACTTTGGTTTTTTTTTTTTTTTATGACAAAATCAGCGTGCTGCACCGTGAAAAAGTGCGGGACGATGGTAGCGAAACAATACACAGGGTGATTATTTTTATATGTTATCATTATTATAATACCATCATTTTATTACCTTTTCCGGTTTCTACACTCACTTTTATACCTCACAATCCATTAGTGTGACCTTACGCACGTTTTTAGAAACATATTATTATTTTTTAAATCTGTGTTCAAACTTTGAAAATCAATTGGTAATAATTCTTTAACGTATATTATAAGGAATTGAAAACAGTCGTTGAAATAATGCTCAAAATAATAATAATTGGAAAGACAGAAATCAAATTTACCTAAAATTCTCCGGGAAAATTGCCGGATTGGTATGATAATCGCCATGTATATGAGCAAATGCATAACGAATGGTTCATTAATATTGCCAGTAGGTTTTACCCATGTTAAAATCGGTTCGAACAAACAAAATATGGAACAATATCGCAATTTAAATTTGTCTACAATTTGTTCCGACTAAAATATTATTGCTTGACATTTCACATTATGGTTATTGGTTGACACAATATTGCCTATTTTTTATTATCAACACCGTGAATAAATGCGTCTATTCAGTAGTAATAACGGTTACTATTATAATACTATTTCGATCAGCAACAATAATATTACGGTTAAACGCAGTTATTGTTATAAGACTTCGACGGACCGGCCATTTGCGGAGAAGTCGAAACCCGTATGCTAAGGGCAGTACTGCGACAGAGCCCGCTATGGGAAAAGGCTATTGTGAAGCCGGTCGAGAACGATGCGGGCCGTTGTTGGTAAAAAGAACGCGGGAGCTTTTGGAGCCAGTCCGAACTGGAAGACATTGGACGACGGATAGTGACGGTCGGATAGTGAAATCGGCCGTGAGGGCGGGACGGTCTTAGCGGCCAAACGGACTCCAAAAACAATAACTCATAACTGTATTCACTTTGTGATTTCGTGGTAATGAAACCGCGTGTAACGCGTGTACAAATGTTTAACACGAATAGACGTGCAGCCGAGAGACTCGGGTATACCTACATAGTAATGTACAAGAGCTGCTGTTGTCGGACAAAAATGTGCGGCGTACTTGCCAGTACACGTAGCTGATAATATTGTATGACGCACCCGCAAAAAGCGTATTTGCCCAGATTATATTATGCACGGGTATGCATAATAATATAATATAATAGGGACGAGTGATTATCCAACCTGCAGCGGGCGACAAACACGCGCGCGTTGCCTAATTTTTTTTTTTTCTCGCACATACCACCTAGGTACCGCATCGATGACGCGTGTGACGTAACCGCCGTTGAACGTTACCGCTACGTCGGCCGTCACAGTCCTCTTCAGCCGGTTCTCATGACGTGTGGCTTGCCGTTCGTCGGGTATGGCGCGGCGACAAAACGATACAATAACATAGTCCGGCAAAGTTGCCCAATCGTGACATTTTCCGAGAAAAAAAAAAAAAGTGATAATAATAATAATAAAAAACCCGCCGCCGCGTCTTTTATTCCGTCCGTTTCCGCGGTCGAATTCAAAGAAATAACCTCGTCGAGGTTATAAACATTAAATAACAATAAACAATAACGACCATTGCGTACATATACTTACTGAAACACTGTGTCGTCTGTCGACACGAATATACGTCGTTATTATCGTAATGACAATTAATAGTAGGTACCTATGTAACAGTTGTGCAAGTACCTATACCACCTTTTTAAAATTTATTTTTAAGTGCCGTCTACAGAATGTACTTAGGCAGCGGTACTTGACCGAACGGGGTCAAGGGCTCGGCGGCAGGCCGGTATAAATCGGATTTTAGTATTGTTTTTTTTTTTTTTTTTTTTTTTGTCAAAGCCGACACGGTGTCCGAACTCGGTAGTAAAAAACTACGCAACGTGTAGGTATATAGTGCACCGACCGGATAGCGTATTTAAAGACCCTATCCGAGTTCGGGTCGGGCCGAAACGTAACCGAGTTGGTTTCAGGAGTTTTACAGAACACAGTTTAGCTGTTGGTCCAAACGTGATCATGAACCAAGGAAATTATAGTTTCCAATAAAAACGTAAACCTAAAACCTAGTGTCCAGTCGACGAGTGGCGCGTTTACGGTACCGCTCGGCCTGAACTCGGATAGGTTCTGTAAATACGCGACCAACGGTACCTGATTTATTATGTGTAGCTGGAACCGGGAACTTGAACGCGTAATATTCGCGGTAATGCGGTAACGCGTTTATAGATTAATACGTACCTGTGTTGTATTGAAATAAATTATTATAAACGCGGCGGTTTCCCCCCCCCCCCTCATCCCCCTTTTAACCGAAAGACACGCGTCGTCACTTCTGACCGGAAACCCGAGCACTGCACACAGACACCGGACGTTTAGAAAGTGAAAGCGACCGCGTGCGTGTGTCGTTGCGAATACGCGGGCTATTACTCAATACCCGTGTCCGTGTGTTTGGTGTGCGCGCGCGCGTTATGGCGTTATTGGATGACGTGAAAAGAAACCACGATCGCACGCGGATCGTCCGCGTTAGCCACTAACCGCGATTGGTTACGATCAGACCTGTAAATTGTGCCGTGTCAATGGTACAGGAACGCGGAAAACGGGGGTAATTGCCCGGGGTGGCAAAGTGTTGAATAATTTTTTTTAATGTTCGCATATTTTTCAACGTGATTTACGAAATTACAATATAAGAAGACAAGATTAAATAATAGTCGAGGATTTGACTGTATTCACCTTTTCATTGTATAAAATATGGTCCGGAATAGCGGAACTGTAAGGGATTTGCTGCCGTAAACTTGTAAAAACAATTAACCCGTTGTAAATGAATACATTTTGTATAGAATATTCCTTATGAGTGCTTGTAGAAGTAATTTTAAATTAAGCTTCCACTATTCAAATGTTCGCATTATTTTAACTCCGGAGATTAGATTGAGGGATTCAGACACGCCCTTAGGCGAGGGTTGAACCACCAAACTGCCCCTGTATGCGTGTCTGAGAATACGCGTATTTGAGTACGAATAGTAAGAAAGGCGTTTATAAATATTTGTTGAACATAATATGTTAAAATAATTTTTTTTATTACATACCTAATTACGTATCTCAATAAAAATGTTCCGGTTTTCAAGAATCGCAAAAATATCTACCGTTACTCTAAAAATGCATTCGATTGCACGTGGAATTCAAATAAATGTGCAAAATCATATGAATCCTACTTGTAATAATATGTATTATTATCGTTAAGTACATATTGACATATTTAAACACACGTACAATGAATAATTTTTTCACCGTCGTCGTCCTCGATAAAATCTCGTCCTATCTGTGTGTGGCCGGTACAATTGCAGTTAAATCATAATAAGCTTGTCTAACTTAACCTATTCCTCGGACACGAGCATATTACGTATTATACCATAAAAATATCTCTTGTTTTTAAACAAACACAATATTTGGCACGATGACAAAAAAAAAATTATGCAATCTATACGATATAATAATTATTTTTATAGTCGCATTTTCGCGGTGTTAAAAACCTCAAACATTCACGTTTACAATATTTTACCTGCACATATAATTTTGTCACCATTAGTGTTTACAACACGATTGTTGTTAACAATTTTAACCGTATTAGTTAAAACTCAACATCGAATATATTCTATATTTTTTTTTATCGGTAATTAGAGTAGATACATAGCCACAAGATACACTATTACCAAAAAGTTAGTGTTTTGTTACGATTTGTGTACGATTTTATTCGAATTTGCTATGGATATTATGTCCGTGAAATTTATACTCGTTTGAAATAATCATTGATATTTATTATTTAGATAAAAAAAAAAATGAGAATTTTGGAATTAATAATTCATTACCCGTTAAATACATTGTATATTTGACAGGAAAATAATTGTAAAATATATGTATGTAGAGTATTATCAAGAGATTTTTGGAAGAAAATCAAAGAGGTTCAGGTTTAATTGTAGTTTTACTGTAATAATGGGCACATTTTGTATCCAATATAATTGCACTTTCTGAAGTGTACCTATATAGAAAACTCGATTAAAAAGTTGTGTATGGATCGATCGGGAACTTAACACCAACGGCACTTTACAGCGAATGAAAATATCATATCGGTAGCGTAAAAACTCGTTAAAAAAAACGTTAACATTTGTTGAAGTTTTACGACAAATCTGCAGCTTTCAACAGAGTTTTTCGGTAAACCAATAAGATACAATTCGATTCTGCCAGTAGGTTCAACAATCGTGGTTTTTATAAACAATTTTTTCACACATTATTTCATCTTAATCGTCGCATACGTCTGTATACATTATAATATTGGCTTTGGTTATAATTTCGATAAATATACATGTTCTGTACATTTATAAAGAAAATAAATATTTGTGTTTTATTTTTTCTGTAATAAGTACGTCCTTTTTTTCTTAACTATACGATTTAAGATATTTGTTATTTATATATGTTTATTTAAAACGTTTAGGTATTTTAACGAGATATTTTACCATTACGGGTCATTTCATTTTTTTTATCAGTATACAAAAAAAAAGAACGGACATACCTAACACGTGGGTTTAACCACTGTTGTAGATGGAAAGTTGAGAAGGTAGGATACAGACGAGTATTTAACGTATATCTGTAAGCAACGATAAACCATTGTTAACGAAAAACGATTCTGAGCGGAGTTCAATTGATAGTGTTGCTTTGTCAACTATATATGTCATATTATGGTTAAAATGATTGCAACAATGTGCGTTTCCATAACAATAATGATTGTTTTAAAAATATTAAAATAATAAAAACTTAATAATAAGTAAAAATAAATAAAAAAAGGTTGTCAATGAAAACCTTATTTTTATTCTTTCAATATTTTTTAACCTAAAAAACCAGGTTTTCCTCATTATCTCGAATATTAATAAGAATTTAAAAAAAATTACTTTTTTAAAGTACCACCCAGGAACATTTTCTTTCAGAAAAAGTGCCATACTTTATAATCGGAGTAAGCTTTTTGGTAGAAAAAGTGTTTAAATAAAAAAATTAATAAACATCTTTGTAAAACCAATACATTCTTATAATTGGATTATATATTTGAAATCAAAAAGTAGGTAGAGATTTTGTAGTAGGTATACATTTTTATTGTACATCTAGATTATCCAGACTTACAACGTAATGTTTATACCGTCGACGTCGTTAATCAGATTATGAAATTGAGTTCAATATTATCAATAATTAAAATGGTATGAAATTTGCATAGTATCTATCTCTAACGACTTTAAAGATAATAGTACCTACCATTAATACGAGTAGAATAATATATTATAAAATAAATTATAATACATATTAATAATGTTAAGTTGCATGTTAATGCACAGTTCAGTTGTCGGAAACAATTTATTTTTACGCGTTGAAGTATATAGTGGTAGAGTATAGAACCTATATAATATACAGTGATGTTTTCGAAAACCATGATAATCTATGACTTTATTATCCTATCTTTGTGCAGGTATAGATGTTATAAAAAAAGTGGACAAGTTTGAATTGAACTTATTTTAGTTTAAATGTACTTGGGTTAAAAACGTAACGATTGAACTGCATTTAGGTCAAAAAAAATGTTTCAACAAAAATGTTATGTATCAAAAAAAAAAAACTCAATTTAAAATTGCACTGATTTTCCTTTCCACTTGCAGTTTAATCATTTTTGACATGGATACTTAAAAATAATTTTTTTTTCGTATGTATACAGTTGTATAAAAGTTGTCAAATTGTTATTATTTAATACAATTTTTTTTCGCAGAAATCTAAAACAAAAATTGGAAAAATTGTTTCTGAAAATACTTGATTTAAGTATTTTAAATTAAATTGGTGACTCTTATACTATACAAACGATTCCCAGTACACTTCGATCTGTATCTATTTTTAACCCGAGGAGTGCAATTTGACCGTTTTAATTTAGATAAAAAAATGTTAAATTCGACTATCTTCAAAACAGTACATAATTTAGTAACTGTGTTATTTATTATTATTCAATTTGTTTAGACACTTTTAATAAAGAATAAATTCAAAAATCAACATTTGTACTAAATATAATAATGTTATTATTTTATTGCAGCCGAATACATCCATCCATGCCGTAAATCGGATACCCAGTTCAACAATTGTATAAAGCAGACATTCAACCACCTTCGGCCGTATCTCATAAATGGTACGTGAAAAATATAGTACTATTACAATAATATTTTCTTCATACATTTTATTGAAATTGTATACTTATATTGATTATTGTATGATGTTTAATAGGGATCGAAGAGTTAACCGTGCCTCCGATCGAACCGCTGTTGATACCGAAAATGCAGATGGAAAACGGACACGGAGCGGTCAGAGTGAGGGCTATACTGAGTAACATGACAATACACGGCGCTAGCAATTATTCAGTTTTAAACGTCAGGTAGGCACCTAAACAGAAATCAATAATATTACCATATTATACACATAGGTATACAGTTTAAGATAAACTTGATTGACTATAGCCCGTACAACTCCCGTTTTTCCTAAACGGCTCCTGTTTTTGAAAACACAAATTTCTTACCGCTTCATATCGAATTAACACTGTTTCGAGCTTTACGCTTTAAACTGTTACTAATATCCCTCTCTTCATTAAAACATTATCATCTAAATGCGAGTGGTTATGTTCCAGATGTTTATCGTACATTTCGCCAATATTATTTTTCTTAAAGAAAGACTTATTATAGCACGTGTGTGCCTTTTCGCTGCTTTATACGTAGTCACCCAATTTTTCGTGAAAAGAAAACGAATATTTTTCTATTAATATTTTTTTTTCCAATTTCACTTGACACACAGTGCAATTTTATTATTTTAAATTAATACTTAGAACGTATAAAATCCAAACTCCAATGATTTTAATGAATTTAATAATACTTACTATCGCCAAAAGCAAGATATATCAGGACCGTTTTCTGTAGAAATATGCGTAGTTGGTACCGAATGCCATAACCGTTTGGGAATTTACCTACTCGTGAAAGCTTTTTCGAGGTGAGTTGTTTAGGAAAAAACAAAAAATGGGTGGGATCCGTTCAGGATGCATCAACTTGACTAATGAATAATAATTCAATCGAGAAGCTGTAGGTTTGGTCAGTGGCGTGGTGAGTGATATGCGAGCAAATCAAATTATCTAGTACACTTCCGAATAGAAATTTTGGTAAATGTGTTAAACATATATTATACAGTTGATGGTTAAAAACACGGTGCCAATATTCTTCAATGTGGTTTTGATAATTTTGAATATCAAATTTTTACTTGGAGTCTAACCGTGAATTTTGGATTCAAATGTCGGCGTAAAAATCATTTTTAATGTTATATTGTACAATAAAAAAATATATACGAATAATGGAATAATTTGGAAAACTGTCAAGAATTTTTGGCCGATTTAGGATCATATCGCCGAATCACATTAAATACTACGCCATAACTGAATTTTGTTTCGTTTTATATTAAAAAGTATTCGTCAATATAAAATTACAATTACATATACCTATATTACACACATAACATTTTATTTTAATCCAAATGGAAGTAGTAGATAATAGGCACTTTGATAATAATTTAATACCTAGCTATAACTACCTGTCTATAAGCTGAACTCTTGAATGATCGTAAATACTGGTAATAAATTGAAAAAAATGTCAATATTTTAAAAAGATAATTGTTTACATTAACTATATTACCAGAACAGAAAATTAATATAAGTGATCTAATTTAGAAATTTATTGTAAGTAGGTACATATATTTATAAATTTATGTTAATATTAATAAAATATAACTGTTAACAAACCATAGTAAACAAAAATAGAAGATTTATTTTACCTTTAAAGTATATCGAAATTCACGTCGTGCCAATTCAACTCTATGCGTCGGATGAGTATGACTTTTTGATATTATTGCAGTCGTTTGTGATTTTAATATTCCTCTTCCTCTAAAGTTGTCAATACATTTATAATACTCATTATTTCCACTACATTTATCAATCGTGTGTATATAACTATCTACTACTAATAACTTTTTTTCACGGTTTGAATTAATTTTATACCAAGACATATTTTCTTTTAAAATTGTACAGTTAGGTTGCTTGTACGACAGCAGATTAAAGAGTATGACTGTGTGCATAAATCCATTTGTAGATTTGTAGATGTATGTTTTTATTGTTAATTTATCAGCAATAGTAATAATAATTTAGCTATTAATAATACGTAGACAAAGTAAAAACCTGGGGTTTTTCGGCAAAATGGAATTCGACAAAATATGATTCAGCCAAATGGGATTCTTTGTCAAATTCGAAATCGAAACTGCCGATTTCCTACTAACTAGAAATTTCATTTTCTCAATACCGTTTTGTCATAAGCACCGATTTGAACCAAAATAAAATTCTTGCTTACACATTTCCCCCAAACACTTTTTTTTCTAAATAGCAATCATTTTTCGAACATTGTTTTTACACTGTGTATGAACCATTTAAAAATCACAATGTTCATAAATTGACATTGAATTTAAAAATTGTTCACCGGGCTCCTTGTATAAAAAGTAGTTTACTGATCCGTGGATAGCTGCTTCTGCATTTTGAATAAACCCCAATTATAATTTTGAAATTTTTATGTTATTATTTGGTATATATAATTTAATAAAAAATGTTTTTTTTGAATATTGCTCAGAGCTTATATACGTTATTGGTTTCATAAACTGTGTTTGTACAATTATTAACCATAATGGACCGTGAAAAATTGTCCATTTCAACCTATATACGTCAAGATACGCCTTTAACTCAGCGTGAGTGTTTTTGAATATAAAATCCATGTATCCTAAAAATTATTTTTAATGAAATGGTTGAGATTTAGTGCAACTAACAAAAGTCTATCTGCAGTGTCGAAATTAGGAATTTACTTTAGGAGGAGATGGATATTATTTTTCGTAAAACAAGTTGTTATTACTATTGATATTAATAATAATTAGCCCCAGGGCCATTTTTAAACATAAATAAAATTGAATTTGAACATTTTCGAGTCGATAAATTTTGATTTTTTTTTTAAATTACCTGTATACGGCCCTTTAACCACTAGAAGTGTGACATTCTCAAAAATTATTAATAAAATTAGCGTTTTGAGTTGGACGTTAATTATTTTGTATTATCGTGTTATAATAACGAATAAAAAAAAAAAAATTGTATTAACTACGTGTTTATTTATATAAACACGTAAATAATGCTGTTAAATGTTATCTCGAGCAGAACTTTTTGCACCACGAGGTAGCTGATTAAATATTATAATATTATCTAATTATAAAAATTACGAATAAGGTCATTAACACCGTTTATCTATAATATATTATATTCGTTTTTTTTATTATTTGTGTATAATGATAATATTTTATAATATAATATTTTACGATTCTTTAACGAAATGTACGATTAAAATGTTTAATCAATTTTTTAGGAGCGATATGAATAAATTTCGTATAGACTTAGGACTGTTCATACCTCATATCGAAGCCACTGGAAATTACGATGTCAATGGTAACGTGTTGTTATTGCCAGTACGGAGTAGAGGAGACTTTTGGGTGTCATTTGGTCAGATATAACTTTCTTTAAATTATTATAATATATTACTAATGTTTATTAGTATTGAAAAAAAATTATACAAACCGAAAAAATGTAATGTACTTATACGGTGTTTCATTTTTATAGAAAACGTAACGGCCTTAGCGAAATTATACGGCGTTGAGGTGAAAAAAGAAGGCGTGGCATTTATGAAAACAGACAGGTTGGGCGTCGGTTTCAAATTGGAGAATTCAGATTTTAAAATCAAAGATTCCATCAACCGGCAAAACGTCATAGGTTCATATATACATTTAAAAAAAAAAAGAATTTACATAATAACAACAATATTTTATTAATAAAACATTATTTTAAAAATGTTTTTTTATTTCTTGCATTATTTACTATTTACTTATAGGTGAAGCGATGAACGTATTTCTGAACGAAAACTCCGCGGAGATCATCGAAGAAATGAAACCCGCTGCTTCGCAAGCGATCGGCAAGCATTTCAAAAACTTTTTGAACAACGCTTTCTTACAGATTCCGCTAAAAGTGTGGTTAAAAGACTCGGAATAATAATACTGTATACTTATAGCTATATTACTAAGACCCCCGAACTAAATTCACTTTTCTAATCGATTATATTATTATAACCTATTATTGTTTCGTATATATTATGATTATATCCTTGTACGGTTGTTAAATACGATTATTTATTTAAGTTACCGTTTTCTGTAAACCAATAGGTAATATCGTTTAAGAGGCACGGTCACGGTGGTATTTGCCAGTCTCTGTTTTCTTAACGGTTAATATATTAGCAAACATGTGTTCATGTAAAACAAAAACGAAAAATCCTTTAAAATTGGTTTTGAAGATGTAACATTTAATGCGAAATTTGTATAAATAAAATCAGTTTTGGGGGCGATCTGGTCGGCGTTTTTACAATTCTCTAAACATCCGATTCACTATCGAAGATGCGAAAAAGAGTTGTAGTTTTTAAATAATTAATATTTCAAAAAATGTAGTTGTCTACATTTTTTTTATAATAGATGGTTTTTTTTCAATCTCCGATTTTATGGGTCTTTTAGCTTGATTTACGCGAACAAATTTTCACTCAATATTGCCCGTTATACAGACAGAGACGACAAATTCTACTGTGACTGGGACTCTTAACATTGTTTACGGTATTTTTAATTTTTATCTACCTATAATATTATGTTATTATATATTAGGATTCATGCCATTTTGTATATATATCGTGTTTTTCGTATGGATATTTTAAATCTGGTATTATATACGAGATTTGCAACTTAGTACCTATTTTTAATATTATTCTAAGTTGATTACTTTATTATTATTAATAATTTTATTATATTTTCCCATGCATATAATATTAATATTATTATATACTGTGACGTACCTATAGTTAATAATAGTTATGTGTGTATTATTTTTTTTACGCAAATATTTTTTAAAATGAAAAACATGCGCTGCCGGGTGACAGTGCAATATCTCTTTTTTTTATACTGAAATACAATTGTTTGTAAAATTGTAAAATATATTACATTATATTTAATAAAATTGTTGTTAAAACGTTTCTTTATGATAGATTATTCTATATTATAAGATATTGTAAGTTTCGTTTTTAGTGAAGCACACATTTATCATAAAAAAAAAAAATGTACACCGTCTTTATGGAGTCATCTCTACTTTTTCTCATTATATTATGTCTCAACTACACTGCATATTCTTTGATCTTTTTTTTAATATAGCAGACAGTAGACACTAATCCCATATCTTCCAGTAGTTTCTTATCGAATTCCCTTCTCTATTATTGGCTTAGTATCATGGGCCGGTTCACTGGTATCATCATCCAAGGTGGGTTTTCAAACGTTCTTAGAACTATTTATGTTTCATGGTTATTGTTGTTTATAATTCACGTCCACGTGTGAGAGAATAGGTCTAATTACAATTGCTGTATAATACTGTTAAGTTTTTGTTTCTTTTGAGAAGGTTTGGATTTGAAGAACTCCGATAAAGGAAGTGAGGATCTTTCTTCACTCCTATTTTAAGTGACCTACCATTTTAAATATTTCTACTGAGAAGCATATTTAAATATTAGAATTCTTACACTTTTTAGCAGATAAATAAATCCACATAGTTACCTTGGAATAATTCGTTTCAAGTAATTCCAGCAGCTTGAGATTTTCACTATATAGTATACGTCATATACAATGTAATTTGCTCGGGCATATTTTGTATAATATTACTCGAATATGCCTACATATTTTTTATTCATACGTAAATTACGTCAAAGGCGTTTTTTGCAAAATCAATATTTTCCTTTCCATTTGTTAGACTTAGGATTTGCAATATAATTGTATTGATATTTTAGCAATTTATGATAACGAAATTTGAATACATTACCTGCTTTTAATGTTTTATTCCTTCGTTTTTAATTACGTTCATTTTTATTAAATTGAAAAAAAAATACATTATCTTACAATTTTTACTATTTTTTTATGATACACATTTTTAATCACATGCATTTTTACCTGATACACTTCATTACTAATTCTTATTTTTTACAATATGAATATTTTAATATTTATTGTTCATACAATTATATTGCCAGTCCTAAGTCTGAAAAATAGGAGAAAAAATATCGATTTTATAAAAAAAAGTCTTAGACGTAATTTACGTACGAATACAAAATATTTAAGCATATATACAAAATATATCCGGGCTACAATTTACGCATGTATAAAATATACACAGGTCACAGTTTACAGCGACCTGTAACTTCTACTCACTTAAAATATTCAAATCATTCGAAAAACCTTGAATATTTGTACTTGACGTTGGCTAACCGCCGCTTCTCTAGATTAATTTTGCATCCTTTTCAACGGAAATGTTAAAAAATTGAAAGATTGTACGTCTCTCTGTTATAAATATATTCTATTACAATATGACTAGTTTTGTATATTGTATCTCGATTCACGACGTATTATATTGTTATGAATGAACTCATTTTGTGAATGTGGTACTGTGTATTTTTAATACGTCTTACCTTGTAATCCAACTATTTTCATATGTAGTTAATCCTACTATATTATGTTATTACCTTATCCGTAGCATAATATATTATACCGATTATAACCTGTATTAATTATTAATGGTGTAAACACATTAAAAACTATCCATTCAAATATTGTTTTTTTTTTCAACATAGGATACAAAATATATTTTTCGTAATATATCTTCACTATGCGAGTAAATTAGGTACCTATATATTATTCATAATAAATCAATTATTTTGTTTTAATTCTCGAAAATACATCTAAGTTAACCTTGATTACAATATCTATTCATCTTAATCGATGATTATTGTGTAATTAAAAAAAAAAAAAACGAAAAGAAGAACAAGGTCGGGAACACTGCAATCTTATCTTGGCTAGGTCATTTACGCGGTGAAAATTAGTGGTAAATAATTAAAATTATCCAATTAATATTATGTATGAAAAAGAAAAAGAAAACGGCCGTTGTTATTAAAATTACCTAAATGTACTAAAATACATGATTAAAATGTTTTATTTTACTAGAGACGATAAAAAATCCTATTTTCCCTTCAGATTATTATTATTTTTAATCCAGATATATTAATACGTTTATATATTAGCCAAAACCTTATTCCTTTAGCATTATGTGTAAACAGGTAAACATTTTGTAAAGTTACAATTTAATTTTCACTATATTGCATATTCAGCTAAACTATAAACACGCAATGATAATCTTCATATTATAATAGTAGGTCATTAATAATGTTATAGGTATTAAAATTACCATTGTTTAAACGTAAAGTAATAATTTTTATGAAATATCGTATTAGTTATGTAACAAAAGATCCTAATCCGATGAAAAGGTTTAAAATTTCATATTTCATATAACATTGCATATTATTGATAGTAATTAATTATAATTAAGGTACAAGATATTTAACTAAAAAAAAAAAAAACACTAAATATATGAAATCATGTATGCACTTAAAATCCTAAAATATACACTACAAATATTAATTATTTAAAAAAAAAAATCAAAGAAGATACACAATTACATAACTTATTTAATTTTATGCCATACTACGACCAAATGATTAAAAAAACTTTTACTTTCACTTTTTATTAATTTACTTAAGTAGAAATTAGTACATTACATTAATAATTGATGGTAGAATTTGATTGATTTATAAATATAATGTAATATATAATTGGATATTCTATTTTCTAGCAATAAAAATTAAATTGAAAGAATGTTGTTTTGATAAATGTTATTTTTAATAAATTGTGCAGAAATAACACCCTAAAAGCATTGTACTAAAAATGACTGTAAAAGTGCAAATTATCTAAATATGTAAAAATATGTGACACCAATTTACGGATTTGATTTTATCATAACATGAAACACATTTTTATTCTAGCTGGTCTTTTTTAATGAAGTGCAAACCAAACATGCAAATATTGCAGATGCTAGAAATCCTCTGCTCTAATTATAATCAATAAATTTATTCATTTTTAAAATAGTTAAACAAAACGAATTTGGTAAATAGGTAATAATATTTATTATATTTATTTTCAACTTAACGGGACTATCCCTTTTATAAAATGAAAAAAATAGAATGTGGTATACATAAAAAAAATATAAAATTATTTAGTTTAATAACATAACAATAACACTACTGTCTGCTAAAATTTCGAAAAGCCTATTTAACTATTTACATTATTTTATAAATAAGTCAAGATTTTAAACTATAGATTTATTTTACGTTTATTAAATTGTACACATTCAAAAATCTAAGGAAAAATGCCAGGAGTAAAAAAAAATGACTAAAGTAACAAATGTGTCTTCCAGACAAACTTTAAAGTAATGCTTACCTCAAACAAATAATGTCAAGTACTTAGTAATTAAGTACCTAATTTAGATTTTATTTTTTACAAACGCTTAACTTGGAAAGACCACAAAACCGAAAAAAGAAAACAATTAAATACTAGATTTCATTTACTCTGTTCCCTTCTACTCTCCAAACTCAATATCAAACTTAAATTTCTTCTATATAAAGTTTTAGTCTTCCTATTATGGTATTACGGTATCCAAATTTTGGATATTGTCGCTCCAACCAAAATGCAAAAAATCCAATCCTTCCAATTCGTGTGCCTACGCACGTATACAGACTTCCCCTTGTATATTACCAATGATACCCTATACTCCGATCTTAAAACAAATTATATTAACCAGATAACCAAAGCCGCTTATCATAAATTCCATTGTAAATTTAGCTTCCACATCAACCCTTATGCATTCACCTCTCTTAAAATCATATCCGTAACAATCCATCCATAAAGAAAAACATAAACATCCCTTCTAATATCCATAGTAGGTAGCTCTACTGGGTGCCCTTCTACATTTTATCCTTCTCATGTTATTGTTTTGTTCTTATTCACTGTTATTACTTTTACTAGTTGAGCATATTTTGTATAGTTCTAAATTTGTTTTTGTAGTAAACCCAAGAAAAGGTAGGTCGACATTCTTGAAGAGGATCTAAATTCAAAAGTATTAATAGGAATGATGGAATAAACTCTCAGTGAATTTTAAAAACCAAAAAATGAAGAATATATTGTGTAATTCAAATAAAATACGTCTTATAGAAACACACCTATAGTATAAAGGTGAAATATTTGTTTACATGAATTATCTAAAGTATGATTAAATTTACTCACAAACTTTGTCAATTATATTATATAGGCTTACAAGGGACTTATAGAATTAAAATTTTTTATTTTAACAAAGATCTAAAAAATCTCATTTGGGAATCTGGATGTTTGTAGTATTTTAAGACTTAGGTAGGTAGATACAATAGAACTATTTTTCAATGCAATTATTATGCAACGTAATTACGATCATTTTACTCTCTTCAATATTGTTATTGTTGCAAAACATTGACACAATTACCCATATATTAGATTCTGAACCTATCAACTAATTTTATCAGAGTTGGTTTGTGTTCATAACATCTGCACATTTTAACAGATTAATAATAATAATAATAATAATAACAATAATAACGATGATGATATGATTAATGTAATAATTATTATTTAACTGTTTATGGTATACCTAATATTAATATTATAACCCTATGCATATTATAATTTATTTATTGTCGGTACATGTATTGTTTATTTATATTATTATTAATTATTGATCAATATTAAACCATTAAACCCTGATTAAGTGGGGACAAGGGAGCCACGTTACCTGAGCCCACGGATGTAAAGGATCCATTGTGTAAATGATTTATGCATAATGTATCTACAAAATGTTTGTGAATACTTTCTGTAGTATACAAATTAATATAAAATGTATTTAAAGGTGGCCCTTTTTCTCACTAAGTCCTTTAAATTTGGCCTTGTGTTGGATAGCCCCAGTGCTGTTTGATGATGTTTTTCGGAATTTAATATAGGTACCTAACTTTAAATTTGGTATATTTTTATTGAAACAATTTTTTCTTCATATAATATAGAACTTTTTTTTTATAATTTATCGAAACAAAATATAAAGGGGGTATAAAAACGACTGATGTGTATATGTACATTTCATTTTATCGACCATTACCGTTTACCGGGAAAAACAAATTTTCTCTACATTTCGTTCACGGAGAGTGTTATATAAACATATATATTTATATTTTTTTAAATTGAAACGGAACAACGTGTGAACCTACGTATACGTACACCTCCGTAAAAAATAGACGAAAAGCGTCCGAGACGGAAGTATTTCCGGACAATGTGTCACAAAATGGAAAAAATGGTTGCAATTCTGTTTACAACTCTATGTATATTCCTATATATACGTACGAATATTTTTCTTTTTCAACAAATATTTTCCCGAAAAAAAAAAATAATAAATATATCTCACTATATACGATTTATTTTATAGATTCTCAGCGGAGCAAGGAATATATTGATATTCAAATGTTTATTATTATTATTATTTTTTAAATTTATAAACAAATTTTCTACCAAAAATCTTATTCTGATTTTCAAGTGTAGTACTTCTTTTGAAAGAAAATTTTCCCAGGTTGATACTTTGAGCAAGTAATTTTTTGATTTTCTAGGGGTTTTCATAATAAATTTATTAAAAACCGGGTAAAAATGTAGGAAAATATACAAAAATAATGCTTTTATAATATGATAATAACTTAACTAATGTATTGATTTTACAAAGATGTTAATTTTTTTTTTTTATTTAAACACTTTTTCTACCAGAAAACTTACTTACGACTATAAAGTATAGCACCTTTTCTGAAAGAAAATGTTTCTAGGTGGTACTTTAAAAAAGTAATTTTTTTAAATTCTTATTAATATTCGAGATAATGAGGAAAACCTGGTTTTTTACGTTAAAAAAGACTGAAAGATTAAAAATAAGGTTCTCATTGACAATCTTTTTTTATTTATTTTGAATTATTATTAAGTTTTTATTATTTTAATATTTTTAAAACAATCATTATTGTTATGGAAACGCACATTGTTGCAATCATTTTACCATATTATGACATACATATTTTTGACAAAGAAACACTATCAACTGAACTCGGCTCAGAACCGTTTTTTCGTTAGCAATGGTTCATTGTTGCTTACAGATATACGTTAAATACTCGTCTGTATCCTACCTTCCCAATATCCCACCTACATAATGGCTGCACCCACGTAAGAAGTATGTCCGTCCTTTTTTTATTTGACTTTTTTTTTGAATAAAATTTTCAAAAATAATATTAAAATGTGCTTAATGATTGTATTCAGGTTTAATCATACATTTTTCTTATTATGACACATAAAAAATATCGAAAATCTAGTATATATCAGGGGTAGCCAAATTTAATAGACTTGGGATTGACCTCTGAATTTTTCTAGGTTGTCGCGATCGATAAAAAAACTAATAAAAAAAAAAAGTTTGTCATTAAATAAAAATATTTCAATTAATTTTTTATGTTTTAGTAAAAACTTAAAAAAAATAACTATTTATTTTATTATTTTTAAAACATTTGAAAATAGTAATTTTATAGAGTTCATATTTCTGAATATTTTTTATGTATCAAATTTTCAATAATTT